TTGAAACAAAACATTGGAGATTTACCTAAGATCATGTTGCTTGCTGCACTGCAATAAACCTTTACATCTGTCCTTAAGTACTGACGCAAATCCTATTTACATCTTGACCTTCAGATGCAGAAGAAAGAAACCCCAAACAACTATTTATCACCTAGATCTAATTTTGTCCACATTTTCTCCTTAGCTAGTAGAAAAGAAACTGATTTCTAAAAAGAAACAGATGGTTTTAACCATCTTTCCAGTACCAAAATATAAAACTGGTTTAATTAGTGTGCAAGCAGTCATGGCCACGCGCTGCATGTGCAGCTCCCCGCAGCATCTTCTCTCCTCTGTCAGTGAAGCTGCTGAAATCCTCCCATTCCCATTATTCCCACAAACCTTTAGCCCAGATCTTTGACTGATATAAATCAGAGAAGCTCCACCGAGTCGGATGGAGTCGTGCCAGTTTGTGGATGTTGAGGTTCCGTGCTTGTGTCTTAATTTTTTGTGTATTTCCTCCCCACCCTGCTCCCCTGCCAAATGTATTAAGAAAAAAGGGGAATATAGAGGGAATTCTGAATGTGGTAGCCTTCATTCATGGTTTGGCCCTTTCCACAAATGCAAATGCACCAGAATGTTTTTACTTTTCCCCTGAATACTGGTCTCATTTAAATATGGACTTTTAAATAAAACAGGAGCTTTGCTAATGCAATGATGCAATTAGAAGCATATTCTCAGAGAATCTACAGCAAGGAGAACAGCAAAGAAGATAAATCAAAATAGCTTTTGTAGTGGCATTTTTCTCACAGTATTTTATCCTTTTCTGGTTTCTATGGAAATTATGAATTTTTTTTTTTTTTTCACCAAAACAAACTGTTCCAATTTTAAACCTCACACCGATTCAGGGCAGCTTAATGGATAAGGCAGCCAGAGCTCACGGCCAGGACCTGGGCTTGAACCAACTGCAGGTTATAACCTAATTGGCTTCCTCTGCTGAGCTCAGTGTCTCCAGGTTGGGCCATGGAGTGCTGCCAAGGCATGAGGGAAACTTGCAGCAGAGTTGTGTGGCCTGGAGATAGACAACTTCACTGACAAGCTGTGCCTGGCCTGACCCTGATCCTTCCCCTGCACGAATATCCTCTGCCTGCTTAAAGGAAGAAAGAAAATCCACGCTCTCCCCAGATCAAAGCTGTCATTTCTCTTTGCTTTGCAAGGCATCCGGACGAGGGAAAGGAATGAAAAGATGGTTTTGGTTTGTTTGGCTGGTTTTAGTTTGAATAAGGAGCAGAACTCTGGGAAAAAGTAATAGAAGTTAAATCAAATTTGTGGAAATATAATGTTTATGCAGTGGCTTTGAGGCAGTTGGACCCATGCCATCAAAGATTTATGATTTATAGGAAAGAAATAAAATAATAGGTCTAAGAAATGGGACAAATCAGAGCCATCCATTATCCCAGCTGGAGAAGTTTATTCTTATTATTCAAAAATAAACAAACAAAAAGGAAATCATAGAATCATTAAGGTTGGAAAAGACCTCTAAGATATCCAACAATTAACCCAAAAGAATTCATTAATTATTCTTCCTAAATTTTGCTGTCACTGGAGTACATCCATGATGGAACTGGTTACAATGGAGCATAAAATTTGAGACTCAACAGAAGAAGACTGACACCAAAAAGGTGTGAGCAGAGAGGGACCTGCATTAGATATTATTTTTTTAAGAAATCAGATTTTTTAATTTAGTAGCCTGAAATAGCTCTTTTGGTATATTCATTGTTTCCCCTAAATGAATAGCTATCCAATGAGGTCTTTCCATGTTCCTTCATGCAAGGGCTCTCTTTTGAAAATCTTCTATTGTTTTTTGTCTCTGTACATTAAAAAAAGTAGATTCATCTCTTCATCTGTGGCACATAATTTAAGACTGATTATAATTTGGATTTTTTAGACACTTTTTTTTTTCTTAAATTATCTTTTGAGAAGTATTTTTAATAGAGGCTATGTACTTATGAGTGAATAGGCTGGTAGTCAAAAAACACTTCATTTTCTACAGAACTGTAGAATATAACTACAAACCATCACTTGTAGTTGAAATTTTTAAATCCTATTCTCAAAGTGTGATTTTTAAAAATATTCTGGAGTTTTATATTTGCATAGGAAAAAAATGCAAAAGCATGTTAGGGATTTTTTTCAACTTATTTTAAACACTTTTTATCCCCACATTTCTTTTTGCTCCTTCAGAATTTTGAAGTATTTTCTGGTGGTTGGAAAGTGGCTAGAGGAAAGAGGAAAATATACTTTAGTCAGAATCTATTTTCTTCCAAACTGAGGGAATATGTTGAAGTTTGTGGAGTAGACAATTAGAGGTGAATAAGAAAGTAATAAAGTGGAACCTCTGTCCTTTCAAATAAATAACACCAAACCCATCAAATAAAAACAAAACAAAAAAGCCAAACCACAAATCATATTGTTTCTGATGCTCTAAAAAGCAAACAAATGCCAAAAAGGGGAGGAGATCTTTTTGTTTGGTATTTTTACAGCAATAAGTTGCAGGACTGGAACTAGGGTGACAAATATTTTGGAAAAAAAAAGTCAAATTAAGCCATGAACAGGGGTCTCATTTTGTGTTTTTACTAAATATTTTTCCCCTCCCCTCTAGCATTCTCTCCTTGCACCTCTTTTGCTTTGTACTGCTTCTAATGACAGTGATGCTCAGTTTTACAGGGTCAGGTGTACCCCAGTTTAACCAGTTTATACTGGGACATGGAGCACAACTCCACCATTTCATGCCCTGGGCAGCCACCATCACAGCCCAAATCCTGTGAGAACTTTGGGAAAGGTGATGTGGAGATGGAGCTCCTGGCAATTCACCCCATTGTCACCGCAAAGGTTGGCATAGCTGGACATCAGTGACAATAATAGTTTTTGGCAGCCTCAGCATCACGTGGAAGTCATATCTGCTAGATCTCAGCCCTGACCTCTGCACCAGCTGAGAGCTGAGTTAGACTCCATAAATCCCTGCTTTTCCCAGGAACTGAAAAGGAGGAAAATTCTCAGCGAGTGAGGAACGCCTGCCATGGCTCTGTCCTGAACAAATCCCCCTGGAAGATACCAACAGGACAACTCAAATCAAAACCTAACAGGTAGTGGGCGCCTCTTACAGACTCTAATCCCATTATCAGCCAGGTTTGGCATCTCAGCCCTGTGCCCTTGGCACGGGCAAGCTGTGACAGCACTGCCAGGTGCACGTGCCACGGGCTAAGAGTCAGCTGTCATCCACTCCCCTGGAATCAGACAGAAATTATCTTTTGTTACAATTGGAATCTGTCATTTGTTAAAACCAGTCATGCTTCCAGGCTGAGAATTTTCGGAGTTCTGTTAGGAATTTTTTTTTTGAGTAATTTTGCATCATGTGCAATTTCTGATGCATTCAAATACTACATTAGGTCCCCAGAGCAAAACCTCTCTGTCAATGCACCTCATCTGACAGCAATCGTGGAAGGGAGCTTTAAAACTCAAGCACTAGTTCTGAATGCTGGAAAAAGCTGCCCAAGAGATAAGAAAAGAAGAGATAACTGGTGGTTCTCTTAAAAGTGCTTCATGTCACCCTGAGAATCTCTTGAATATTTTATAAAAGAAAGAAAAACCATGGCATGAATCAATTCAAATTAAATACCATAGGAAACATTTTCTAGAAAAATCAGAAGGCCTCTTATATAAATTCAAACGCCTCAAATAAATTTTTCCATTGTGTGTTTTTCACCATATGAGTGGGTATAAAATGCTCAATGGATACTCCTGTCATCTTTCCCTATCACATTGCAAATATATTTATACATGAAACTTAGTTCCTTTTTCTACAATGAAAATAAATAGCGAATGTTCTTTTCTACTCACCACGTTATGTGTTTTAGAAACTTCCAGAAATAAGTCAGAACAGCAATATTTATACAGTTAGGCCTGGCATATTTGTGTATATTAGGTAAACATGGTTATTTGGAACCAAGCTGTGCCTGTATGGTTTCTTCATGCTGTTTTGTTGTCTAGAGGCACAACGAGGCCAATTTTTTAGAAGAAAAATGTGCCATATAATTGCCACTTTGTGATGCATTCAGCTAAAATTATGGGGAAAAAAAAGAATCTCAGTTCCCCCCTTTGGTGCATTGTGCTGTTGTTCCACTCTAGCTTTTACCAGCTTCCCAATGCAACTGTCCTGTTCAGTAGGAGAAAATACCTGAATTACATACACAAGTGCACACACATACACACACACGCATACTGATAAGGTTTGTCTAACCCCTGACTTGAGCACACAACACAAAAATTGCCACAGAGAATGGGATAGATTTGTTTGGAGGGGAAGAAAAGCAACACTGGTAAGAAAGGTGCGGGCTGACACGGTAAATGAAAGCAACACAAGTGAAGACACAGTTGGAGCAGGAAATAGTTGGGAGATGTGATTCAGCACTCAGGCTGGGAGATTATGTTTAACATGAAGAGTGGAAATGTGAGGCAGTTCGTACTGCTATATATTCATTCTAATATGGCAAATAGAAAAATGAGGCACCAAGCTCCTTTTGAGACCACCAGCTCCACAAAGAGAAAAGCCGTGTAGCCCCAAGTTTTCCACAGCACCATTGGAACCGCAGGAAAACCAAAGGACTCTGCCACTGGTGCAGCAAATCACTCAACACATCCACCCAATGCTCTGTGGCGCCAGGATGATATTTTAAAAGGGTGCAATTACGTTTTCTGTAAGGCAAAGATGGCCCTCTGTAAAACACCGAGCATGGCTTTTGTTTGACGTTGTCACAACAGAAAGGCAGCAGTGAGTACCTCTCCCCTCTGCCCCCAGACACTTTATTTATGCAAGGAGAAAATAGGAGCAATGTTCAGATATTTATGTTTAACATCAAAGAAAATTCAGGTTCAGGCCAGCAAACAGGAAAAAATTGCTGAAAATCTGTTTGTCATGGAGAGGTTATCTCTGCAGTGCTGCCCAAAGCAGGAAAACATCGTGTTACCTGTGATGTGACTGCCATCGGAGTGAAGGGATGGAGGTACCTCGGCCATGCTGCTGTTTCTGCAAAAACACTTGGTGCATTGGAGGTGGTTTTGCTTCCCTCTTTTTCTGGCTTCTTCAATATTTTCCCTTGCAGATCATGCTGAGAAATGCCTTCAGTGTATCCAGAGTCTTTGCAAAAATGGCACTGGAGTTCCAGTACATGCATTTTGTTCTAGCAGGATGGTCCCATACCTGTGGGCTAAAAATTGAAAATCTATGTTTAAACCAGGAACTTAAATGCCATTTTTTTTCTTTTTTTTCTTCCTGATTTGGGACAAAAATGCAGAATTTCAAATCTCTTTAAAAAAATGGATGCCTTGCAAATATTTACCTTTGAAGTCATCAACATAACTATCTTACAACAAATGCTGAAACAAAACTTTCTGTATTGAAAGCATCATCTGAATATTTTGTGGTTTAGAACCTTATATCCTTTAAATTGAATATATTTGAAAATTCCTGGTTGAAAATGTAACATTTTCCTTTCCTAATTATTGAAAATTTTCATGCAGATATATTGATATGGTATCATCTCATTAAAGTGCTACAGGAAAAAAACCTCTGCATGTGGCATCATATGCCAGAGGATATGTAATTTAAAACCAAAATATTAACATTTAATCAGAATGGTGAAGTCAAAGTGAAACAGGAAAATCTGACAGATGATACATAAATAAGAATAAAATGAAGTACGATTGCATTTTATAACCAGTCATGAGCACAGTAGATAGAGCTAGTAAAACCTACAAGCTGGTTCAGCTGAAATGAAATGACATTCATTGCATAATTTTTTTTCTGAAATTGTGCAGGAAGTTATATGAATTTAATTCCATATGAAAATGAAATTCCCCTGAGTCCAGAATCCTGCTCAAAGCACATACTCATCTCTTGTCACAAAACATGAAGACATGAAAGACCATCAGACTAGTTTCAACAACTGCAAATTTTTCCTGATGGCTGGACTCTGACCACAAAGAAATGTATCAATGCACATTTCTAATGGAAAAGGCATTCTTTAATAAACAGGTGTTTTTTTTTTCTTCTCGAATTACCTGCAATTTTCCAAATGCATGAAATGAGAACAACTTCCACTCCTTGACATTGGAGAGGAGTAGCCATGCTTTAATTTTGTAGGGAGACTGGCTTGAGCTGTCTCCCAGTAATTTCACAGCCCACTTTAGATCAGCCACATCAAGGAAAACTTGTGCTCAAATTATTTTTCATATTTGAAGAGACAAGGTTTATGGTACCTCTTGTTCACAGGTGGTCAGTTCAAGGACTCATTAAAAGTTATACAAGTTTCCTATTGATAAATATGTGGGAATTATAGTCGAACTGTCTTAAGAAGTCACAGCCATTAAAGCACATGTGCAGCATTAAGGGAAATAACAAATTATTATTTAATGAGACGACTAGTCTTGCTATTGTTGCTTTATTTTCAAGCAACGCTGAAATGGGCTCCCTGGTGTTTGTAGTTTCTGGCTATCTTTTTTTTCTCCTCATTATTAATTCCTTTTTCTCCATGCTAATCAGCCGAAGCACTGTGTGTTTGGAAGACTGATTTTTATACCCCATTCCCTTTGGATTTAAGGGTTACTTGTCAGCCTGGCCAAAAACTTCAGCAGTAGGTAAAGCCCGGGGCGCTCCTCGTGACCACGGCGGCACCGCTCACGCGCAGAGTTTATGCGGCCGCCACACCTCCGGGTCAGAGCTCACCGAGGATTTCCATAAATCCAATGGGTAATGTGCCAAATAAGATTAGGGAAGACTTCACATTATTGTACAATCCAATGAAAATATCATCTGCTAAGCTCCTTCTGGTGGCGACGGGGAGGAGGTGGCTAATATTAGCAGGTGTTTGTCTCAGAGGCAAAGAGGAGGCAGCAACACCTGCCCGTGCCCGTGCACAAGGTGGGAGCAGCCATCGTGACTTCACCTGTGGCAAAGTCCTCAGTAAAAATGCAGTTTTTAAGAGCTGAAATTCTGATCACTGCCATGTTGTGTCAAATTGTTTTCTCTACCATTTATTACATTATGTTTAATCTCACCCTGTTTTGTATTCCCAAACGCATCTCTGTTCAAAATTCTTTTTCAATTTATATAACTGTACTTTCAACTTTCATATGCTACCTAATTCCTGACTCTGTATTTTCACATGTAGAGTTGCATTAATAAATGAAGCAGGTGGATTTTTACATCTGATCTGTGCCTGTTTTATCTATACACATATTTTTCTTTCAAACCTTGACCTGCAAGAAAGCAAGAAGGAAGAGTCATCTGGCAATTAGGCAATAATCATTCAATATGTTTGTATTTGAGAATAAAGGAAAATGATTTTTTTTTTGTTCCATGAGGCAATAGCAGAGGGAGCCTCAAAGAGGCAAGTGCATTTGCATTCTGTATTTGTCTTCTTCATAAATGTGGTTAACTAATTGCCTCTCCTTTCATCAGTTATCAATCCTTTGTTCCTGAACACAAGAAGAATCAGATTCTGATGCCATCACTGAACTTGATGAGCTCCTGACTCTATTAGTTATCCTCTTGAACTCAATGGTCCAGATTCTCAAATGGTATAAATCAGCATAGCCCATCCCATAATCAGAAAAGCTGACCTAAGGAGATAATCTGGGGAATAAAGTCCTACATGATGAGAGTAACAACATCAGAATCACAATGTTCTAAAATTTTATGAAAAATCCTTGTCCATAAAACCTGAAGTAAGCAAAGTGGGAATAAATACATTTGGAAAAATTAGTTGTGTTATTCTTAGTTAACGTGGCTTGATGCAACATGATCTGCAGTTCTGCTCAGGAGCAAAATGAATATATAAATATATAACATAATAAATGTTATATATTTATAACATATATAATATGCTGGCAAGCATTTAACCTGTTTAAACATTGTCCATTTTTTTAAATACAGCCATTATTTATAACTGTGAATAATCTTGAATGTTACTCAGGATCTGTAAATTGTGAATGTTGCATACTGAGACCCCTGGAACTGAGATGTATGGCACACAAAAATAAATGATACTATTACAGCAGCCTGTCTAAATGGACTTTATCTTCATAAAAGGCTGTGTTTGCATAAAAATGGGGTTTGATTCACTGCAGCACAAACCTGACTTCAGGCTACCCACTGGCTGGTAGCTTGTAACTACCAGGAGTACAGCTGTAGTAATGTTCACAAAAAGTTGAATGGAGCAGGCTGAGTACAAGATCCTGTCTAGAAGCAACCAAAATTTTGGAGTCACAATAAAGGAACAGTGCCCAAGTCTTAATCCTCTGATGTTGACATGGAGGAATGATGAATTTCCACAGTTGGTGTGCAAAAGTGATGTCCCCAACCACGGCCTTGGCAATCACTCAGACCTCAGAGCAAATTAATGCAGTCTACAGCTGTTCTAAATTTTGCCAAATCCAAAAACATGAGGGAAAAAAAAAAAAAAAAGCAAGCATATATCCCATTTCTGGCAGGATTCTCATATGCTTGTTCTCCTTCTGGCTCACTGCCATTTGCCTTCCAGAGACTCTTACAACAAGGAGGCATGGAAAACATCTCTCATCTCCACTTCTCCCAGACCTTTCATAGTGCAGTGGTTGGGGGACACATGCAGAAAGGGAGAGACTGGATTTTAGTCTCTGCAGGCTCAGGAAGAAACAGACTTCAGATCTCCCTCTGGAAGCCTCCAGAAAGTGGCTGCTGTCCCCAGGACCATGTTCTGTGGTCTTCAGCTCGGATGGAGGGTGTGGAGCTGCTCAGCCAGCACAAAGTCACCGCGGCACTCACGCAAATTACAGTCACGTGTTGGGAATCTGTCCCCTCATGTTTATAAACTACATATACTAGAGTATATCCTACGAAATTCAACTTTGTTGACTACTCTAGAAACACAGTTAATCCAGTGCTGAGTGTTTGTAAAAGACCAACCCTGTGCATGGTGAGGAAACGCTACAAAAATAGAGTTCTGCTCTTTGCAGCTACTTCCAAAAGTGCCATCCTATCAGTGAAAGTGGGAAAGGTCTGCCAAGGTAACACATCCCACACCAGCCAGAGATGGAGATCCATGAGACACAGAATGAACTTTATAAAACACTTTTAATCTTTGGCCTTTAAGCAGCATAGCCAACAACAGGTTCACATCAGGGTAGTGGCATTAGCCAAGACAAGTTTACAAATCCCTCAGTGCGCTTCCATCATCCTGAGCTTGAGATATCTGTCAGTCCATAGCAGATGCTGCTGTTGCTGTGCATGTGTCATGTTACTGAAACCCCTAGATAATGATTACGACCGATTATACAAGATGCCATGTTCCTTAATCATATCACTTACATTTCTGCTGAACGGCAGTGACAAGGTTTTGAAAGGAGAAGATCACAGCTGTCCAACAAAAAAAAAAAAAATCAGATAAACCACACAGTGTTTGCAGACAGAAGATTATGCTAACCTGAAAAGTAGCTTTAGTGCTGTTGATATTTGCACTCTCCCTAACTGAGCTGAACCCTCATTCATCGTCTCTGTTTGGCACCACGTCTGAAATGGAGGTGATTGATGCATGAGCAGGTATATTTCTGATTTTTTTTTTAACGTGTGTGTTATTTACAATTTTCTTTTCTCCTAGTGGGCATTTGAGTGTCTATTTACTTTTTTCTATATTTCCTCCCCCTTCCCTCACCAAGACTGCAGGTCTCAGAGTACCAGGCACTGAATAGCAGTCCCAAAGCAGACAGCTGGAGTGAGAAAATCCCCTCCTTGCCCTAGAGGTAACCCCAGCTCTAAGCTGGAGACATTCCCCTCCTTCATATGCTGGCTCATTTTGGAGTCTCGCTCGTGCAGAGGCTGCCAACTGTCCTGAATTAAATGCAGTGCATTTTGATATGAGTAAGTGCCTACTAATGACTGAGCAAAACCAGTGTATTCATTTAAGCAAAGAGTTCAAGCAGGGTTCCAGGAACGAGGAGCCGTGTGCCCTGCTAACAAAGCTATCTAGTTCAGTGCACAATCTCAACTATGCAAAAGAAAGGACCTTCTACATTTAAGCAGTTTTAATGCAGTTCTACAGCACTTAGAGTTTTTGGTGGAAAAGTCAGATGTAATTACTGCTTGACACAAAGGGATTTTTTTTTTCCCTAGCTCTGCTGACGTTCTATTTTAAATAATTAAAAGTATAATTTAAAACTTAAATTGATCATTTCAATAGACCTGATCCTGTCCTCAGAGGGAGCCTCTTGTGTCATAGTTAAACTGTTGATCAGCCCAGTGTCACTGTTTCTCCTTCATCAGAACTTGTACCATCAGATCTATAATTCTTTTTCACTTATGATGGCAGAGCTCCAACATGGGTGTAGTTTGACCCAGGTTAAGCAGATTTAGCTAAATGCATAAATTGTTCACATTCTGTCATGTGAAAGATACAGGCCTTGAGCCAATGTGGGGAATAGATAACTCACCCAATGAAGAAAGTAATGTGTTTGCTAATTTTCACACATCTGGACATTACTCTCTTTGACTCCTCATTGTCCAAAGGAGTTATAAGGTCTAAAACAAGGTCTGATTTTTATAAGAGCTTAGATGACTGTGTGCTCTGATATTAACATTCCTGGGAAGTAAATTTCCAGGCTGTACAACTCTCTGAAAGTGAGTTTTCCATCCGCTTTTGGTTTTCCTGGCCCATTTCCACCAATAAAATCACATGAAAAGTAAACCCATAAGCCAACAAGTAAGTCAAAGGATTTTCATGGTATAAATCACAGACCTAACAGGATCTCAATGTCCTGCAGAGCAAGTTCATTTCTCTGGATTTCTTGCACCATAACATGGAATCTGTGTCTTTTCAGTGCATTCTTTTGGTGGAATTGTGCCATCAGAGATGCCCTCCAACACCTGTACTACATTTTCACACTAATTTTCATGAATGTGAAAAGAAATTATATTTATCCACATGGGATAACTTCCAGAAAACAACACTGAGCCATGAAAGCACCATTTATTTGTGCTTTAAACTACAATTTAAAACTATTATATGTCATACTAATAGTTTGATTAATTTCATTCTCCAGGATTTTCGTTCTACAGAGGTTACTAAGAAAACTTCTTCACCAAATGTCCAAGTCATAATGTAAATATCTATAATAAATCTGTGTTTAACCTGTGATAATGATTGAACTTGATGATCTTAGAGGTCTTTTCCAACCCAAAGAATTCTATGATTCTATAAGCATTAAAACATTCCCTTTCAAAACCAATGTTCCACAGGATGAAATTTGCTCCTTTCCCCTCATCTCTGGATACTGAGCATCACTAAAAATCAGGAATATGTATCTAAATTAAGATACATAACCCTATAATTGCTGTTAAGGAGGTGAGTTAAACCCTTCTAAATAAGGGAAACTGCTTGCCTATGGTTTTCCTAAACCCCCTAAGATGACATCTACAGCCCATATGTGACCACATGTGGTATAAATAAAATGGAAGTTTAAAAGAGAAAAGAGATAAACATATAATTAAAACCAGCATAGCAAACACTTGTGCTCATTCATTTTAATGACTGTGTGCTCCAGTTTACAGAGCAGTTGCAGACCCAGGCCATAATAGCTGGGTTGACCACATGCCATAAAATACATCAGTGTAGGCTGGGTCCAAATTATCCAACACTTGTAATAAATCCATCCCATTAACTGGATAAATATGCAGAAGCAACAGCTCTGGAGATAATGCTGGGAAGTGGCCTGTTGTTATTTAGCAGCAATGCCAGCTTGCAGGACCTGATAAATAGCAATGCTATTGCCTTTTATTATGAAACAAACAAACAAAAAAGATCAGTTTAGCTTTTAAGATCTCATAACTATGTCTCTCCTTCCGTTATCTGTAACTTGAACTGAAAAAAGAGATTGTGGCCTTGAAAGCTTCAGTTCTGATTAATTTTTTGTAAGCCTAATAAAAGGCATCAGTCATACCATGTATTTGTGAAAATGAAATCTTCATATATTGAAGGTCAATTTTAGTTGAACTAATATAATCAGTAAAAGTCAAGGTTCCTTTACCATTAAAATTGTCCATGTTCTGAGTCTTTTGATATTCTATGCTTAACCTTGAATCATGCTGTGTGTGTTGTATGCAGGGAGGATGGTGAATTCAAGTTATAGTATAATGACTGTCATCCTGGCCTTGATTTTCAGCTGGGCAAAGCAGATATGCAACAAACACAAGACTTCTTTAAAATTATTTTGAAATTAATACACCCTTGAAGAATTTCCTCTCACCTCAGAATAAGCAGCAGGTCACCCAAAGTCTACAAGCAGCTCTTTGCTACAGTTTTATGAAATACTTAATATAGCTCCTGAATATATTTCTGGAAGTTGAAAGATGGTTACAGGTAACTAGAGCAAGTATTGATATTGAGAAATGCTTTGAGGTTTGCACAGAAGAAATCACTCAATAATCCTGACAGGAAGGTGTAGCCAGGTGGGAAGAAAGAAGAGTAAGTAAGAACTGACAGGACAAGAGGAAATGATCTCAAGTTGTACCAGGGGAGGTTTAGGTTGGATAGTAGGAAAAATTTCTTCCCTGAAATAGTTGTTAAGCACTGGAATAGGCTGCCCAGGGAAGTGGTGGGATCACCATCCCTGGAAGCATCTGATTGGTTCCAAAACTTTTCCCTTTACCTCATCCCTTTTCACTACAACCATAAAATAGGAACCTGATAATTTGCACTGAGGAATGAAAAGGCAAATCAGTGTGATCCTGCCAGCCCCAGATCAGGGCAAGGTCAGGCTGGGTGTGAAGGACATTGACCTGAGAGCACTGGCAGGGCAGAGAGCATCACAAGCAAGAGTGCCACCTGATTTTTAAAACAGAGCTCTAATTAAAGAACACATTCAAATCAGTTGGCTCAGAGATGTGCTAAAAGCATTGCACACAAAATTGCCAAAAGTAAGAAGCAGGGCAGGTTTTCAGCAGTGCCACACTGCTCACTCCAGTGGAATGAATTCTGATTTTGATCTGTGTAAATGGGATTAGACCAAGGTCTGAGTCTTATCTCTCTGGAACTGGATATATGGAGATGACATAAAAATATCTATTTTTGGTTTTGAAAGCAGTTCTGCATCAAGAGAGAGTTTGAGGGATTTATGTGCTGAAAAATCTAGAGAAAAGCTGTACAATGGGAAGTGAAAACTAAATATATGGATGTACAGGAGTACAGGATGAAGTGGTCATTCTATTAATGATGGCTCTGTTATAGCAAAAATAATTTTTAACCTGTGGATTCCTTAATTTGTTTTTTCTTTCCCAGATGCTATTTCTGTTCTTTCTGAGTAAATGATTAACTAGAAGCAAAGGACATGTTGATTTTATTATTGATTATCCACTTCTAAATTTTAACTTTCTTTTCAAAGTGTCAAGTGTAATGGAAGGTCAGAAGAATACTTAATGACAAACCCCAAGCCAGCAAAGACAAGTTTCTGATCCAGACCTGAGAGTTAATCAGAAAACAACTCTTTGAAAACCTTTTTCAAACCAGCTCAAACTTATCATTATTATTATTTTTTCCCCAGGATATTTGCACTGAAGAAGAGGCAGTGTCAGCAGTCTATAAATAGCTCAGGACAGTATAAACTTTTGAACTGTGAAATCTGGGGGATGTAATCTTCCTGCTAAACAGAGGCTTACAGCAGATATTTAATGCTCTGATAGGAGCGTCGCCAGTGTTTAAGCTATGAGAGAAAGGGAAATTCTGAATTATTGCACCACTGTGCACTGGTGTGGTAGTTCAGGTTGGTTTGGAATCCCTTGTCCCAGCTGAATAAGTTTGCTTTTCTGTGTGCAAATTTGTGCATAAACATACTGCAGTCAAACAACAGCATAACCTGCCTTTGGATATAGAACAATTACTTTAGCAGACATTTAGATATTGTAACACATTCTTTAAGCAATGGATTTGTTTGAAGAAACAGCCTGTATTGCTGTTTCCATCACTTTTTGTGGAGCAGTGCTGATTTTCAGAGTTTGTCCAGTGGGAAGCAGCACTGGTAAAATCTCACAGCAATTTCCCTGGTGCTGTGGAGCTCCTGCCTGTCACCCTTGGAGCAGATGCAGGACAGTGCCACCTTTTACCCAAGAGGAGGCTGAAAAGCAACATCCTTCCCAATGTGAATATCATGCTATAAATTAACATCCTTAATTCCACAGAGCAGTTGTGCTGCACGGAGAAACTGCTTTTCAATCACATGAGGGCACTTTGTGGGAAGGGGAAATGACCCCACACTGGGGTTTGGGTGTGTAAAAAATGAAAAGGTGCATGTAATGCTTTCTTTTTATTTTTTTCCCCTCTTGTAGGACCTGTGTGTTTTTAGAGAGAAATGATTTTTTCAAGCAGCCAC